GGCTCTGCCGGCAGCCAGCTGTGCCAGAGTGAACAACAACAGTCACCTCGACATTATCTGATGTATATTCATAGTTAAGAACAAGAGAGAAAGATGTACAACAGAATAAAAATAATATGTACAGTATGCAGTGATACAGCAGCAGGTGTTTTTAAATACAGTGTTCATCAGCGTGACAGCCTGTTAGAGAAACTGTAATGTCTGCTTGTGTTGGTGTACAGTGCTCTGTACCAGAAGGGAGAAGTTGGAACAGGTGGTGTTAAGAATTTGTAAGTTGAAGATCATGACAAGTGTTGAGTTTGAAAGTTTATTGGAAATAATAGTTCAGTTAGAAGAGAGCTTTCTTTGGTCAGCTGCAATCACGTCACCTGAGACAGGAAGTGGCATCTGTTAAATGCATTTGAACACTCAAAGCTACTGAGCAGATTAAATATGCAGCAAGGGTTTCAATTTACTTTAGTCATTGCTGTGATGTTCTTGTCATTTACTACTGTATTCAAAATCCTAGAATTAGCACAGAAAAGGGGAATAAGGATGCTGTGATTGGGAGAATAACTATTATCGGCAGAGTCCTTCCTCAGAATGTGTTTTTACAGAAAATACAACAGGATGATTCAGGACTCACTGGGAGGAAGCATTGTGACTGTACGGACTAATAGAGTCTACTGATCAAAACCAGCTGATGTATTTGTTTGGCTCTCAGAGGAGGTCTCTTCTCTCGCTGTCTGTCCAGTTATCAAAATCACCGTCTTTTCTGCAGGTCTCAGCATACAGACACAATCTACTCACTTCTTACAACACTGATGTATATTATAAATAAAAGCAGTCATAGTTTGTTAGGTTTGTTCATTATTTAGTATAAATATAACACGGTGTACACATTTGCTGCAAGGATCTGGGAACATGTTGCTGTCACTACAAAGAAGCAGAGAGACAATCGGAGAGCTATGCAACCCTCAGGTTCGCTCCTTCCCTTCTGTAAACACAGAGCTGAGGGTTCCAGCTGTTATTCACATTGTAGTACTGGGAGGCCCTGCAGCTTAAGAAAACACCAGCAAATAGAAAAATGCTGTACAAGCACACAAAACACACAGAAAACAAAGGCTCACCCTTAATAATCAGCTGTGTGGATACAAGCATTGGCATATTTTCAGAGGCCTGATTTTATTGAATGCATCTGGTCCCTCTGACTCTGGACTACGG